ATGCTTTCTCTTTCAGCTGGGAGGATAAAAATTGCTACGCATTCCCACTACCTCCTCTCATTCCAGCCGTGCTTGCCCATGCCCGCCGTTCGGGAACTTCACTCACCCTAGTCATCCCACGATGGCCTAGTGCTTTTTGGTGGCCCCTGGTGCGCCCACGTAGTTGGGCAGACGAGATCGTTGCTGTCATTCGCCTTGCCATTGGTTTTGATTGCTTACGCATTGGTCATGATCGCAGCGCTTTTAGCGGCGCAGGCCTTCCCAACTCTCCCATGTATGCCCTTCGCTATATATTTGCTAATGATTAATACCCTTGTGCGCAGGTGCTGGCCTCGGCCACTTACTCTTGGACCTTTGAACGCTCACAGTTAACCTCCGCGCGCAGTCTACCATTCGCACCTATGAGCCGTATTGGAGGCAATATCGTGCATTCTGCGCGCGACACACGCTTCCGTTCCTTCCCGGCAGTGACCTCACTACCGCTCTGTTCCTGTTGCACTTCGTTCGCAACGGCGCCCCAATCTCAGCAATACGATCCGCATGTTCCACGATCTCCTGCGCTCACTGGCTCATTGGCGAACAATCTCCCATTCGCGGGCCACTTTCTTCCCAAGTGAAGGAGTACGCCAACCGTCACTGCATACGACCATCTCAGGCCAAAGAGCCCATACCTCCTACAAAGATATACGACATTTGCGACATTTACTTCGCCTCCTCAGATCCCGCGACGTTCCAACGAGGGCTAGTCCCCCTTCTGATGTTCACAGCCTTCCTGCGCTTTTCTGACCTGATTTCCCTTCAATGGCACCAAATCGAGTTTGATACGGACTGCATGTGGTTGTTCATCCCGCGCTCAAAGACTGACCAAGCAGGCCGGGGCGCATGGGTCCCTGTGGCTACCTCCGCTGCCCGCCACTGTCCGGTCTCGCGAGTCAAACAATTTCTTCTCATCGCCGGTTACTCCAGCGACACCATAGGCCCACTTATCCGGGTCTTCCGGCCTGGACCTCGAGCGTCTCCATCCGACCATTCCCCTTCCTATGCGACTGTTCGAGGTTGGTGCTGCGAGAGTTTCGCTCGTGTCGGCCTCAACCCTGAATTTCTTGGCACCCACTCGTTTCGAAAGTCCGCGGCGACCGTGGTGGTTGATGATGGCGTCCCCGATCGCCTCTTCAAGGCTCTTGGTCGGTGGCGGAGCGACGCGGCCAAGGAGTTATATATTACGCAGCTGGATCGTGAGCTAGTCGAGGCCTCTCGTACCCTTCAGGATCCGCTTCGATCTAGCTCAGCCACTCGTTATCTAGCTACGTTTGAACGCCATCATCGCCGGCCGCCTCTTGATGTCTCGTTCTACCTATGACGACTGCACTGCACACTCCTCTGAAATTCGTGTCACAATATGAGAATTTTTTTCATATAAAAAGTTTACAGATTGTGATTCGATTTAAAGAGGGGTGTGTTGTAAGGGAGACAAGCTCCTTCTTCTTTCGGCAGGTCTTGGGGACCTGCCACCTAGTCTCATTTGCAATTTCCAATTCTCTTGCTCCCACCCTCCCACTCCCTCTTCAATTTCATCCATAGCACAACGTTATTGCTTCAAAACATTATTTTGTATTCAAATATTTATATTGAGTGTGCTGTATGCATGAGATTTGAAATATAACGACTGCACTGCACACTCCTCTGAAAGTCATGTCACAATCCGTTGGCCATTTCAAGAGACGACTACAATCCGACTTGCAGTCGACTCGAAATTCGACCAGGCTGAGCTACAGTGACCATACAACTTCGCATGCTCACGTGTGCGATAAAACGGCACATGGTAACTACGAAATTACCAATCATTGGCAATCATGCGACAAAATCGCAAAAACTCAACTGCAAATCTGACACATCCCTGTAAATCGGCCACCAAATGTGTCTCTTTTGAAGATGTGGCCGATGGGTGGTCGACTTTCGCGAAAGATTTTGTCGACAATATGGTCGACTAAAAACCAGCCAGAACAGCTTTTAGCGGATCTGACACACCCTAAAACTGCGCAGACGGGTCAGTTGAGCAAACCCTGAAGGAAGGCAGCACAGGCCTGTGTTCTCCACATGCAGCTGGTGGAGGCATTGCAAGCTGGGTGAGGGAAGCGGGCAGGTGGTGCAGAGCGGGGCAGTCAAAGAGGTGCAGCAGGTGCAGGCGGGATGCAGCGCCAATGCTGTCCGGCAACTCCCTCAATTCCCGCGCACAGTGGATCTGCAGAACCCTCAGCTGCGGCACAGCCCATCCCATGTCGCTTGGAAGCCGCTGCATCTTCCCCACGTTCCACATGACCAGCGTGTGCAGCTGGGGGAGCAGCGCAAGGGAGAAGGGCAGCTCCACAGCCTCCTCCTACAGCGCCAGCTCCACCTGCTTCACGCGTGCCAACCTGCTGCCCACAGCCATCCTCTCCTCCGCACCAACCAGCTTCAAAGAGAGCTTTCTCAGCCAAGGCAGCACGGAGACATCTGGCAGATCAACCACGTGGTAGCTGTTTCCAAGACTCAAGACCTCAAGAGAGAGCGGCAGAGACGTAGGAGGCTCAGTATGATCGGGGCACCCAGTCAGCTCCAGCCATTTGAGCTTCTCAAGGTTGTCCAGCCTTCTGGGAACCGAGACGAGCTTCAAACATTCATCAACTGTAAGGGTTGCAAGGCTCGAGAGGCTTGTGAGGGACTCTGGAAGCCGCTGAATCCGAGGGCAGGAGCGAATGTACAACTCCTGCAGGTTAGTGAGGTTCCCCAAGTCTTTGGGAAGCTCTTGAATCGTGCACATGGCCAGTTCAAGCCTGGTCAATGAAGTCAGCTGGGTGAAGGACAGTGGCAGTCGCGGCTGCTGATTCTGACCGTTCAAGTAGAGTGTGTGCAGCCTTGAGAGCTCACCAATGTTCTCCGGCAGCCTCACCCGAGGCATCTTCACAGTCGCGAGGGTTTGGAGTGACGTGAGGTAGCAGAAAGCTTCGAGCAGCTGGAGTAGGTGCGGCCTGGTAGTACATTCAACAAGAACCATCGTCTCGAGGGAAGGCAGGTGGCAGAGGGAGTCCGGGAGGGCCACGAGTGGCAGATTGTTCAGCACGAGGGTCTTCAGGGCATGCAGGCATCGGATATCGTCCAGCAGGTCGTAATAACCCAAAATTTTGAGTCTTTGGTAACATTTAGTAAGGGTCAAGCTCTCCAAGAGAGTTAGAGAAGCGAAGCTTAGATAGATTGGCCTAGGGTCATAATGCCGCAGACTCTGGCGAATTGTCAGCTTGCGGAGACTCGGTATCAGATCTCCGATTTGAAAGGTCGGAGTGTCGGAATCAGGACCCTCCATTTCAATCTCGAGCCGTTCTAGGGCGGCACACGGGACCACCTGCCTGAACCTTGACGACTTAAGCAGAGCCAGTTGCGTTGTGTCTAAGTCGGCAAACACCACGGAAGACGGCTTGAGCAGAGGCAGCTGTGCTATGTCGACGTCTGCAGAGACCAGGGAATTGTGGTCAAATGCCACGGCTTCATCTGAGCTTGAGAAGGCGGTGATGCGTGAGAGGCGAACGATGTTTGCCACTCGTTTTAAGAGATATCTGGAGGCAAGGTGCAGGCTGGTGAGCGACGTAAGCTTAGCAAATTTGGGAGTTCGAGAGTGTGCAGATGCGGCAGCTGAAAGAAGGAAGTGGGGAATTCGACACAACGATCGAGGCAGTAAAGTGAAAGCTGCTCCAGCCGAGTGCAGTGCCGGAAAAAGAAATCCAGGCCAGCGGTTGTTTTAGGTTGCGCGTCCTTCTCACATTTACCGGCATAAAAATCTTTATACTTCACATGCGCGATTCTGGTTCCGACATGACGACGCGAGGTGAGCGAGGAAGGCGTCGTCGAGAGTCTCGACGCTGCCGTCGCAGAGGTGAAGACGGGTCAGGTTCGGTAAGGCAGCAACAGCACTCGCGAGAGCCTGGCGAGACACGGCGAGATTGTCTCGGACGAGAAGCGCGGAGACGCAACGCTGAGTCAGACCGCGCCAGCGACGGCAGACGGCCGCGACGAGGAGAATACGGTGCGCGTCCGCAAATGGAGGAGGAATGGGTAACGGGGTTTTCTTCCCCTCACGAATGGTCTTCTCGAATGAAAGGTTTGCGGAGAGGTACTTCGGGGTGGGAATTCAAGGGTTGGAGTCCCACAAGCAGTCGCTGCCCGTTTGTATAGGAATCGGCCGCTCAGAGTGCCAAAATATATTGGTAAGAATGTCATCAGGAAGGTCATGGATGTGCGTGAGTGGCTCCATGATGGTCAAGGTGGGAGACTGATCACTGCAGAAATGCTACGTTGAAACTAGAATTCTACATATGAGACTGAAGATTGCAGGATTGTCTATGAGCCTCACAGATACCTCTACTGCGGTATTTAATACGAGCAGACATGAGAAAGGTCTACCAGCAATGGCACGATGGTGTAATGCCTGACTGGATCACTGACTCTTTTCTAGCGGGTAGCATGTGCCATGGATGACACTGGAGAGGAACGGAATGGGACAGGGTCACTCCACAGAGAACCACTGGCGTGGAGACCAAGGCGTTCGCCGAACCAGGTGGAGCAGGCTCACCCAACCGCCGACCAGATTCAGCCCAGGTTCACGAACCCAGTTTCGTACACATTCTAGAGAAGTCGCCCCACATACCATATTTCTCGCCCATATTTCTTCTCGCTATATTTCTCGCTGTACTCCCCAGAACGCAGGACCAGACCAGACCCTATGTTGTTATATCCAGGCTTTGTACACCTAACACTTGGTTCTTGAAACAAGAATTGTATCAATCATGTGACTATTCGCATGAAGCGTAGGATGTATCTTGGTAAGGCAAACGGCGCCTTGCTATCAAATACATGCCCCGACTATAAACAAATAATACAATGGCTCAGAAACCTACCAGTAAAGCAAGGTTGTTTCCAACAGTCCTCTCCCCATCCGCCAACTTTTCCCCTTGGAAAAATTAAACCTGCTATTCCTTTTCCATGTCCGTGCCACCCTCCCCATTTGCCGGAGGAAGCAGCTCTGCTCTGGGCTCAGGGGCAGGAACAGTCTTAATCACCCTACAGGGGTTCCCCACCGCCACACAACAGTCCGGAATATCCTTGGTCACCACACTTCCAGCACCAATAGTCGTGTGCGACCCAATGCTAACCCCAGGGCACACAATCACCCCCCCGCCGAGCCACACATTGGAGCCTATGGTGATGGCGTGTGCGGTTTCCACTCCCGTGAGCCGCGTGGCGGGGTGCGTGGGGTGCGCTGCCGTGTAGAGCTGCACGTAGGGGCCAAAGAGGACGTCGTCGCCGATGGTGATGCGGTTGCAGTCCAGCAGCACGCACCCAAAGTTCATGTACACGTTGCGGCCTGCCGGTGGTGGGGGGCGTGCGTGGATGGGGATCAGTGGAAGGGCGCACGGGTAAGATGGAGGGATTGAGAAAACGGAGCGGGAAGGGAATGAAGGGAGGTGGGAGAGGAAAGGTAGCCTACCTGAGGCCTTGCATGAAGAATCAGGCGAAAAGCGGGGGTTGGGATATGTTGATGGAATCCGAAAGGATGGTGGGAGTGCGCGCATCATGATGCGCGTTAGGCGTGATGGCATGTGAGAGCGCGCCCATGCGCGAAACAGGGTGACATGACGTCCGTCACTGACCCACTGTGATATGGCAACCATAGTCGCAGAGAAAGGGCGACGTGATGAAGAGGTTTTCGCCCGCCTCGCCCAGCAGCTCGTACGACAGCTTGCGTCGCTTCTCCACCTCGCCCGCCGGCGTCGCATTCAGCGCCGACGTTCGCTGCGTCGCCAGCTGTCGCAACTCCACTAGTGGCGGGTCCCTGCAGTGTCGGGACACATGAGGAATATGCTACCTTTAATCGGCCCATTTCGCGCACACTTGGAGCAAATCAAGCGACGTGGTGCGAGACCCACCATGAGTTGTACGGCTCTCCCGATAGCATCTTCTCCATCTCCGTCGTTCCTCGCGTCGCCTCATCGCCCATCACGAGGATGATGCGCTGGAGTGTGAAACGGCCTGTGGATTCGCCTAATATCGGACGGAGAAAATCGAGGTTGTGAATGTCACCGCTCGCTGAGTAGTAGTGAGCGGCTCAGAGTGACGGATGCAGATTCGGGATGCAAAATGCTAGGATGATGAGGCGAATGCAGGAATGACATAGATAGAAGAAATCCATGCATGTGTACACATCTCGAAGTGGTGGGATTTTCAACCTTGATCGAAAGCTTCCCTGAATGGTAGGAAACATCTGATCATGTGCATCGGGGATGCTGATTGAACCAAAAACTGAACACAACAGTCTCACGGCTGGGATGGGAACACGAGTTCACCTTGATTCACCTCCCGCCATTTTCAAGGGATTGGATTAGCCTAGCGAAGTTTCACGAGCAGCAATGCCCACAGACAGGTTGCCTTCCTTGATGACCAGTGCGTGCAGGTAACCTCGCAGCATTCGCTCTGGGCTTGCATCGCCGTCCATTCGCAATTTTTTTTTTTGGGTTGCGAAACAACCTATTACGATCGATTTGGTCAGTTTTTTTTTTCGCATTTTTCCATTTAATATTTATTTAAAACGTAAAATTGTGAAAGAAAAACTGGATGTACTTTTTGCTATGCACGTAACATGTACGAGGTCCTGTCTGGTTCAGTTATACTACTGTAGTGGTAGTGACTTTTTGGACAACTAGGTTGTTTCTGTGATTTACTTTGTTGTAACTGACTGCCGTATAATATGTACATAATATGAGAGAATAAATATAATGATTGGTGAACGTAGATGAATATAATGATGTTATGTTAAATGCAATATATTATTAAAGATATGATATGATAGATGATAAATGCATGCATGCTTTATGTTTAATACGAATAATGCTTACCTGTTACTGACAATTCATGACCATGATGCTAATAATGATAAAAATGTGTAAAAGCTAACGACCCAAAAACTATGTTATCGCATCCCTTGCTTAGCATGGGGGGGAGCTAATAGCATAATCCTTGAATAATCAGCAGTCACATGACACAACACAATCTGTGAACTCTAAAAAGATTATCAACTTTATCATCTCCAGTTCAAGTGGGCTCCCGACAGGCGCGCCAATGAACCTTCTAATGAAATGATAGACCTGATTCACCTTTTTAAAACTCACAGACATGCATTGTTAATGAAATGTATATACATGCACACAAGCAACATCATCATACAAACACGATGATGATCAATCTCAAAAGAAAGTGCAGTAGAAAGGAAAAAAAAAAAATCACAAGAACCGAAACAAGAGCAAAAGCAAATTGTCTAGTCTATCTTCGACCCATACTGTCATAATAACATGTTTACCATGGATCAAGATAATACATCTCTTGATTACGGACGAGCTTCACTGGTCTTGGGCTTCATAAATGCTGTAACGGATTGAAAGTTCAAACATAAAATGATAACCATTAAATCATATAATAGAAATATATAAGAATGTACATATAAAACGAATAATGAAGCTCATAAAATATAATCATTCGACGTACGTCAAACCTCCTTTTTGTAGGTGTTGAAGATGGCTGGGTGCTCGACGTGTCAAAGTTGACGGGAGAGTCCTTCGACTGCGTGACACCCGTTACATCAAGAATGGTCTTGATGACGCGGTCTCCCTCAAGACCAAAATGAATCTGTCAAGACAAAAAAAAGATGTGAAAGTGGGAAGAGAGAAGAAGTGAAGAATTTATTGGGAGAAATTGATAAAGAAAAGAGGGTTTTTGTTACAAAGGATGTCAAAGTATATGTGCTGTAGTCTTTGTAGGATATAGTGGGGTAGATACTATAGGGTACAACACTTTTAGGTTTCATATTTGTACCCATCTGTTTCATAGTCACATCATTCCTCGTTCTAAACTTTACATGGTATAGAGCAGATTCCCTAGTGGGAACGCTTCCTAGGGCCCACCACTGAAAATCGATAATTTTTTTTTCTGCCCGGAGCACGAGTCGCCCCTGCCTGAAGCGCGCCCCGTGGGCCGCCCTCTCGTCGCGTCCCCTGCCCTTAGCGGCCCGTCGCGCCCTCTTAGAGGCCCCTCTTACGGCCCCTCGCGTCCCCTTAGCGGCCCCGTCGGCGCTCTTAACGGCCCCGTCGCCGCCCTTAGCGGCCCCGTCGCCGCCCCTTACGGCCCCGTCGCCGCCCGTAGCGGCCCCGTCGCCGCCCGTAGCGGCCCCGTCGCCGCCCTTAGCGACCCCGTAGCCGCCCCTCGCGGCCCCGTCGCCGCCCGTAGCGGCCCCGTCGCCGCCCGTAGCGGCCTCGTCGCCACCCGTAGCGGCCCCGTCGCCACCCTTAGCGGCCCCGACGCCGCCCGTAGCGGCCCCGTCGCACCCTTCGCGGCCCTGTCGCCGCCCCTCGTGGCCCCGTCGCCGCCCGTAGCGGCCCCGTCGCCGCCCTTAGCGGCCCTATTGCCGCCCTTAACGGCCCCGTCGCCGCCCCTCGCGGCCCTGTCGCCAACCCTCACGGCCCCGTCGCCGCCCGTAGCGGCCCCGTCGCCGCCCGTAGCGGCCCCGTCGCCGCCCTTAGCGGCCCCGTCGCCGCACCTCACGGCCCCGTCGCCGCCCTTTGCGGCCCCGTCGCCGCCCTTAGCGGCCCCGTCGCCGCCCCAAGCGGCCCCTGTCGCCGCCCTTAGCGGCCCCGTCGCCGCCCTTCGCGGCCCCGTTGCGGCCTCTTCGCGGCCCCGTCGCCGCCCTTCGCAGCCTCCTCTCGGCCCCTCGTGGCCCCTCCCCGGCCCCAACAGCAGCAGCGGCCACTTCTGTCGTGCAGCCGCCGCCGCTGCCGACTACAGCCGCAGCCACTTCCGGCCACCGCCGCCGCCGTCGCCGCCGCAGCTGCCGCCCTGGCCCTGCCGCCGCCGCAGCCGCCGCCGTCGAGCCGCAGCCGCCGCCGTCGAGCCGCAGCCGTCGCCGCCGTCGAGCCGCCGCTGCTGTCGAGCCGCCGCCGCCGCAGAGCCGCTGCCGTCGTGCCGCCGCCGCAGCCGAGCCGCCGCCGCCGTCGTACCGCCGCCGTTGAGCCGCAGCTGCAGCTGCCGCCGCCGCCACAGCGGAGGCACGCCGTTGCTGCAGTCGCGGCCCTGTCCCTGCCGGCGCGCCTCGGACCTTCCCACCCGCCTGGTAAGAGCACTCCCGAGCAGAGCCTCTGCCACTACGCTGCACCTAGCCTACTGCTCTCACCCCTAGCCTACTGCTGTCATGGCTACCCCTAGTGTTCTTACCTTTGATGCTGAGGGTCGGGTTGTCGACTTTGAGGTCTGGGTCGTTGATCTGCAGCTTTTCCTACAGTGCGTTAGGACAGACGGTCTCTCCCTGTTTGACCTCACGTCTGGTGCCTCTCCTGCCCCTGCTGCTGATGCTGACAGCACTGTTCGCTCACAGTGGGCCACACGCGATGCTGCTGCCCGTCTTGCTGTGCGCCGTCACTTACCGACCACTGATCGTGCGCATTTTAGTCAGTACAAGAGTGCTAAGACCTTATACGACGCTGTAGTTGCACGCTACTCTTCCCTTGCCACTGCTGCCCTTAGCCGCCTCATGCTGCCGTACCTGTTCCCTGACCTCGCCGCTTTTCCCACAGCCGCTGACCTCATTACGCACCTTCGCACTAGTGACACCCGCTACCGCGCTGCGCTTCCAGCCGAGTTCTGCGCCAAGAACCCCCCCCCCCATGTACATCACCCTCTACTACATAGTCACCCGGCTCCCTGACTCCCTTCGCTCAGTCAGGGACCACTTCCTTTCTGTTTGCCCCACCACTCTCACCGTTGACCTCCTCGAGGAGCGCCTCCTGGCAGCTGAGAAGAGTATAGTTGCTGTAGGAGCCTCTCGTGGTGACCCTCGTACCCCCCTCTTTGAGGGGTGTTCCCCATCCCCCCTCTTGCCCTCTGTTGCCTCTGCTGCTGCGGCCGACCTCGATGGCCTCGAGTCGGTCGGAGCTGCGTCTGCCCCTAGCGGGAGACGCCGCACTGGCAAGGCCAAGGGGGACAAGGGCGCTGGAGGAGCTGGCGGGGGCGGTGGAGGTGGCGGTGGAGGCGGTGGAGGGGGTGGGGGTGGTGGTGCGGGTGGTGGCGGGAGTGGGGGCGTCGGTGGCGGCAATGGAGGCGGTGGAGGCGGCGGCGGTGGCGGTGGGAGCGCAGGAGTTGGCGGTGGCGATGGTGGTGGAGGTGGCGGCGGCGGCGGTGGCGCTGGTCGGGGTGGCTCTGCGCCGAGGGGCGGCTCCGGTGGTGGTCAGCGCCAGCAGCAGCAGCAGCAGCGCGCTCGTGAGACCCAGTCCCCCCAGCAGCTTTGTGAGTAGTACGCTGCGCGTCACCGGGGTGGGGGTGCTGGTCCCTGCACCTATATCCTGCGTACCGGCGACCGTACTAGTGAGACGTGCGGTGGCCAGCACGCCACCCAGCACTGCTTCGGCCGCCTGACAGACGCTTGGCGTCTCCAAATAGGTGAGCCAGCGTAGCTCCTGTGCAGCCATGGCCCCTGCGTAGATCTCAACCTCACAGCTGGAGCTGAGAACAGAAGACGAGTGGGTAGACTGCCACGAAACAGAACCGGAACCAAGGCTGAAGGTATAACCCTGTGACGACCGCTGCGTAGCCAAGTCGTCAACCCAAGAAGCGTCTGCGTGACCAGTGAGGACCACTGGACTCCGCCCTCCAAGCACGAGCCCATGCCTGAAGTACTGCACAAGTAGCGCAACACCCTCTTTGCTGCAGCCATGTGCTCTGGTCGGTGTCTCCCAGGAGCAACATTGCGTGCCAAGATGCTAAGAGGGTATGCAAGGTCAGGTCGAGTGCAGGTCATCAGGTACATGAGGCAGCCAACAAGCTCTGGGTACGGGCCACTCGGCTCTACGGACTCATCCGAAGGCAGAGCTGAGAGCGAGTGGCGAGTAGA